AAAAAAAAAGAGAGAGAGAGAGATGCAGCCAATCAAAAAGTGTCTGCCTGTGAAGTAGTATGCTTCATAATTAAGTATAAGAACTAGAAACTCTGGACCGATGACATAAAGAGATGGTAATGATTACAACAGGTATGAAATATGAGTCATGTGCTCCAAAACAGGGCTGACCAGAACATTTGGAAATTTAGACAAAAGTTTATGTCACTCTTACGTTACCAAAAATCCACTCTGCTATTAGAGACATGAGACCTGTGCCATGGATTACCTGTTTTCTTGGTCAACTTACCACACCTCCCTGGGTTTACACCATAGGGTCTTTAAAAGCCTTTAATCCTATTCAAACAATAGACGGATTAAGCAAATGGCTAGCAGCCAAGTCAAATTTTAGTACTTCTTATCAGAACTTGGCTCTCTGCACCTCTAACCTGAGCAACTTTTACCTGACCTGGAATTAAGAATGGTAACATATTCAAAAGAAGGAAAGGCAACAGGCACGACATTACCAGGGGAATTTTCTTCATGTCAGTTACACAAATATGCTGTTATGCTGAAATTCCTGTCTGGGCATTTGTGAAAGCGCAGTCCGGACCGGGGGACCCAAAGGTTGTGTCAGGGCTTACGAAGTAAGGAAGATTTGAAAATGTAAAATGGGATAGTAGGCTTTGCTTGGAATTCAGCACAAAACTGAGCCGGAATAAGGCTGAAGATGGTAAGACTGTACAAGTCATATGTAATAAAGACTTTATTTCAATCCTTTTAAATGAATTATTAAGTAACTGACCCACAATAAGCCCTAAGAAAATGACTGTAGGACTAAGAGACTACATATAACAGAGACTAATTCCTCAAAGAACTGCTTCTTCATATTTGAACATTAACAATCCTTGACTGATAGACACTCTGAAGGTCAAGAAAGCGTGAGATAACATTCCAGGCTCTTGCTCATGAACAGTTGGAGCATTATCAAAGAAAACAAGAAGAGACCACTAGTTACAGCAATTGGCAATATGCAAGAGAGAACAAAGAAGACAAGATCAACATTTTATTTTCAGATGGGAATCAAAAAACTCGAAAGTGAATCTAAGTATGGCTCAAAAGTCAATCTAAGTATGGTTTATATAACTTATAAGGTCTTCCAAGCATGGATTTTATGCTCTGATAAATCATATTTACATGAATTTCAGAGTACATTGTTTCTGACTTGTTCTCTGGCCCAAAGGAGTATACTCAGATTTTTTCTTTTTTTTTTTTACTCAGATTTTTATAAAGAAATTTTGATACTAAAAACTGAAGAGTGGTAGAATAGGCTCCCTGCCTATTCTAATGCCACTATGACAAAAGTATTATTTGAACTAAGGGCACTTGAAAAACAAGGGCAAGATGGGTACTCCAACCTCCCCTTCTTCTTCCTTAAATCAGGAGATAAAACTACCATGTGAAAGATGTCCTCCCCAATAAGGAAGGAAGGAACTGTGCTCATCACCAGAGATGATCAAACAGAGAATTCTGCAGAAGCAGATCTTGTTAAAATAGCTCTTATCTTCCTTTAGTATCCTACAGAGTTTGGTTATTTTTCTATAGCTGCCTTTGTTCAATCTAGTATAAAAGCATTTATATTTTTGTACTTTTGGGGGTTCTTCCTTTCCTTATGTGGGCTCCTGTGTTATGTAAAGCTTCCCTGAGAGCTCAGTTGGTAAAGAATTCGCCTGCAATACAGGAGACCTCGGTTCGATTTCTGGGTTGGGAAGATCTGCTGGAGAAGGGATAGGCTACCCACTCCAGTATTCTCATCTGGAGAATGCCATGGACTACATAGCCCAAAGGGTCACAAAGAGTCGGACATGACTGAGTGACTTTCACTGTCAAATAAATTTCAGCTATTAATCTGTCTTACATTAATTTAATTCTCAGGACCAGCTGAAAGTTCTAAGAAGGTAGAGATAAAATTTTGCCTTCCCTATAAAAGCAAATCACTGCAACGAATGCATGCAGACTAAATTATACTAGATCTAAATGGACAAGCTTAAAAAAAAAAAATTTAGCCTAGACCAACCATTCAATCTACTTGGAAAATTCTACAGTTGCTAATAAGCTTATAATAAGTAGTGAGCCAAATACTCAATTCATCTATAATACATGTTAAAAGGAAGATCAGATACTGCATCCTAATTTAGTATACATTTATTAAACTCTCTCTTTAGAATCCTATCAAAGACTCCAATATTTCAGTCTATCTCAGTAATGTGTTGAACAGCAGTCTCAAAGCAGATACGAAGTAAAAGAAAGGAACTGCCTAACACAAAATTGTGCTAAATTGCATCTGTACTTTAAAGCTGCATTCATTTGATGTATTAAGGATTTATAAGGCCTGTATCCATGAGTGACTATGGTTCTCAATTTGAAGAGTTTAGCTTAAACTGCTTGGCTACATTTACAGAAAACATTTGGGTAATTCCGGCCTGTTATGCTTGCCAGAGGTTTCAAGTAGAGAGACCTGACAGAATTTCTTTACACCTTTCCCACTTCTAAAGCAGCAACCAAAGTCTAACCAGCAATAACAGCACACCTTAAGTTAGTCAGGTCGAGTGGCTAACTCCACCTACTATTTTGCAATCAAGGAATACCTCCCCCCTTTGAGAATTAAATACAAATCAACTTTGTTGCTACACAAGGCAAATATGTTTAGCCATGGGGAACTATTTGGAGTGACCTTCACTTTGCCTCCATTACATCATGACTACTTAATTCGAATGGTATGAGCCAGGATTGACTAGTAGCTCAAATATTCAAACCAAACCTTGATTTGCTAATGGTAGAGTTAATGACAGAGCTCCCTAAACCTTAAGTTAAAGCCACATTATTTTTTGCTCTTAGTTTCCTTATATACTGAAAACCTTATTTAAAAGATGAACCTTATAATTTCCAATCATCTCATAAGTTTACCTCTAATCTTGTTAATTGTTAGTGTGTACTTGCTGGATGGAATCCCTTTTGGAGAGTCTGAAAGGTCTGCTTTTCTTCCTGGAAAGGCTCAAGCTTTGCATTCAGGCAAAACTGCAAGAAAATTCCACCTAGGCTGATATGTACCAGAGTCTGGTAGAGACTGAATACGTTCCCCTCCTGGTAAAATAGGTCTGGTTAAGCAGGATGAAAAAGGGGAAGAAAACTCTAACTCATGCTTATGCTTTCCCAAGTCTCCAAACAGAAGCATTTTTCCTTGTAGCTTAAAAAAACACAACTGTGCCATTAAAAAAAAATCTTTTATTTACCTGCAGAAGGACCCAATCACAATTTAACTGCTAAACACCACACTATTTTACATGAAGAATAAAGCAAACTCAACAATCCTCCTAGGCAGAGATTTAAAATCATCTTCATGGAAATTCACAGCTACACTGAAGATTTTGGTAGAATGATTATCACGTGGTAAGGCAACCTTTAGAATCCACGACTTTGTCAAGGAGCAATACTCTTACTCATAAGTGCTCTGTGAAAAAGCAGGAAGTGTTTCGAAAGAAGCCTCTGACTTCAAAAGATGACTTTTCAAAACTTTTCAAACGAACATTTGGTTTTCTGTAACCGAAAAAACAAAAAACAAAAAAACAAGCTGAACCCAAAGGCTGACTATCCCCCTTTCTTAGAGGTGACATACATCACTTTATTTTCCTATTGGAGGTAGAGAAGCCTCGTCTTAAATAAATGAGTATATATGTGATATTTCTTCAATATTGTCTCATATGTAATAAGCTGTTCATGAAAACAGCACTACCCAGCAGCAGACCTGGGTCCCTGACTCTTCACCAGTTGGGTGACCACACCTTTTACAGGCTTCAGTCATACAAGTGGAGGATGAAGGATGGGCTCTTTGACCCTGAACATGCCCCCATCTCGAAAGCAGACTGAATGTAACACTCATAATGACTGAACAGGGTAATTCCTGGTACCACTTCCATATTTCAACTTTCCCAAAGTTAATGGCTTATTAAATGCACACATCCAACCCACCATACCAGCCAGAGTTCAAGTTTTCATACATCAGAGTAAGGAGAATCTGTACCCTCCTCACACAGGGGTACTATGCTCCAAAATGATAACGGAAAGCATTGGGAAATGCCAGGGAAATAATACTACACATTGGGAGTGGGGAGGCAGGAGTGGGGCTAGGTGTTGGTTCACGGCGGGGGGGGGGGGGGGGGTTGGAAGAGGAGCATAAGGTTTCAAGAGAAGTTTTCCCCAATCTGCCTGGGTGGCCTCCCCTAGGAATGCGGGCAGGACGTACAAAGAATGGGGTTTCGCTCCCAAGGAAGGGTCTCAGACTCAAGGTGGATGATGAAGATGAAAACCCTTCTGAAAAGAAACCCTGGTTTCTAGTTTGGGGGTGTCCTTAACTAGGAGTGTAACTTTGGGTGAGTTGTTCAACCCCTCTGAATCTCTGTTCTTATCTGTAAAATGTTAAAGCGAATGAGAGGAGCCAGCCCCTTCCCCTCCCTCGTCCTCGTCAAGATTCAGAATGAAAACTTCGGGGAAAGCCTCCGTGGCTTTCTCACCTCTGGTCAGGTGAGAGGGCCAAAGCAGAGGGCCTCCGATCTCTTCAAAACACCAGCGCTTTCCACAGACCGAGCTGAGGCGTCTAACCAGGGTTATTTTCTCTACGCATTTATTTATCTTGTTCTTTTAAATTCTTTTAAATTTTAAATTTAAATGCTTTTAAATTCTTCGACTACCCTCGCCTGTTCCACTGTGCTGATTCCCCCTGGAGTCCAACATCCCCTTCCATCTTTCCAGGTGGTTTAGTCCCTTTCTTTTAAACTTACTCGGGCAGGCAAGTCCTGGCAGAGGACAGAGAAAGAAGAAGGAGACCGGGGGCGGCCGAGCACTGCCCCCGCATCCCCGAGGCTTCCGACGGCGGGGAAACCCCGCGGGCGCCCCCTGCCCGGAGGCCGCCGCCCGCCCGCCTCGGGGTCCCCGCACGTCCCCGGCTCCGGCCACCCGCTTACCCGCGATGTCCCACAGCTGCAAGCGCACCAGCGTCCTGCTGTCCCAGTTGAGGACCTTGAGGGCGAAGTCCACCCCGATGGTGGCCCGGTAGTGCTGGGAGAAGAGCTGGTGGACGTAGCGCTTGATGATGCTGGTCTTGCCCACGCCGAGTTCGCCGATGACCAGCACCTTGAAGAGGTGCTCGCTGGTCTCCGGCGGCGCCGCGGCGGCGGCCGTCCCCCGGCCCGGGTCCCCGGCTCCGCCGCCCGCCATGAGCGCCCCGGACCCTGCTCCGCCGGCCGGCCGCTCTCGGCGACCTCGGGGGCCCCGCCCGGCCGCGCCCTCCCCGCGGCGCCCGGAGATCCCTGCCGGCCGTCGAAACTTTTCTCCGAGACCGGCCGCCCTTCCCGCCGCGCCGCCTGACGGGTCACAGGACCCGGAACCCGCCGCCGCTGGCAGCCCGCGAGGGGCGGGGAAAGGCCGGGGGGGACTGGCCTGGCCGGGAAGGCCCCGGTGAGAGGCTGCAGCTCGCCGCCGCCTGCGCTCTGCGCGGGCCGGGCCAGAACTCGCGGCACTTCCTCTCCCCGGGCGTCCCCTCCTCGGGGCGGCGCCGACCTCGGCCGCCCCCTGGTGGCCGCGGAGGGTAGCTGAGCGCCGACGGCGAGGGGGACCAGGCGGGTCAAGGTCAGACCACCCAGCCAGGTGGTGAAAGCCGCTAGACAGAGCGCGCGGAGGGGCCCGAAGCGGTGGTCCAGGAGGGACCCCAGCCTGGAAGGCGAGGGTGTGGGAATCAACCTCCTTCCCTGGCTCTGCCCCGAGGGAGGTTAGCACGTGGAGATCCTTGCCTTTGATTGATCGCCGGTGGACGGATGACTCTGAACTTGAGAAAGGACTGAAAACGCTTTTGAATCGATGAAGGAGGGAATCTGAGGAAGAAGACACATGGCCACTAAAACGATCTTACTTTAATTCCCCAACAAACCATGAATGTCTTAAGTTTAAGCGTTTCCGTGGTAGAGACTGAGATAGATGCTAGGAATTGATTGAAAAACAGTATTGAGGGCTTTCATTTAAAAGAAGAAAGATAGGAGGCCTTACCTTGCCTGCTGTTTTTGTAACATCGAGGGTTGTCTTCCTTCCCATAATATTTAGAAACACCTGGGGCTGAAATCTTCTGGTAGCTTCTTTAAGTAAACTAAAGCCTGCCACTCAGCCTAGCCTCTGACAATCACTGAAAAATGTTTTTCAGAAGTGGAGGCGGTTTAAAATTGACTTCTAAGTCAAGGTGGAATAAAATCTTTAATAGCTACTGAAAAATCATGGCCATGTCTCTAAAGGTGTTTTATGGCCAGCTGGCTTACGGCTTTTATGTTCACTCAACTGAGAGCCCTTTCAATAGTCTTCAGCTTGAGGAAAGAGAAATTTTCCCTTACTGCCTTAGTACAATATATTGTTTCATACCTACAGATTACCATAGATTTTTATGAGTTTCTTTTTTCTTTCACCTTCCTAGGTTTCCACTGACATTAAAAATAGAATTGTGGTGCTCAAAAAAAAAAAAGCACATGTAAATGATTTAAAATTAGAAGTGGTCCCAGCTAAAGGAAGGATAATGGCTTGGATCTGGTGGTTCTCAATCTTAAGTGAACAGGGTTTGTTAAAACAGATTACACACTAGGCCCATCTCCAAAGGGGTTCTGAGTCTTGTGACCGAATAAATAAAACTCTATAAACAAACATTTCCATTTACTGCCTAGAGGGATGGCCTCTTTGGAAAGTCACCCTGTAATACCCTCACATTTACTCACACTTGGTATGTACTATACTCCCCATCTGGAATATACTCCAAACCTTTACTCCACCCCAGCCTCTTCCAAAGGCTTCTCTAAGTGGCGCTAGTGGTAAAGAACCTGCATGCTGATGCAGGAGACATGAGACGTGGGTTTGATCCCTGTGTCAGGAAGACCCTCTTGGGCATGGCAACCCACTCCAGTATTCTTGCCTGGAGAATCTCCATAGACAGAGCAGCCTGATGAGTTTCAGTCCATAGGGTTGCGAAGAGTCGGACATGACTCAAGCAACTTAGCACGCAGGCTCACCCAAGTAAACTGTCTCAACATTCAAGTGCCAGATCAAGGGATTACCTGCTATTCTCATTCCAAATTTTCCTGGCAGATTTATGAATTCATTTATTTATTAAAAAGCTTCTGATGGTGCCAAGAAATGTTCTAGATATTCCAAGTACACTGGTTTCAGCAGAGCAGAGAAGATTCTTTTTCTCAAGGACTTTATGCAATACTGGAAACAAGACAGATCATTAAAAAGCCAATGAGTGAAATAATTCAGATAGTTATAAATTTTATGAATGAAATAGGAAGATGCCATTTAGGAAGTAATCATTAAATGAACAACAAAAACTACACTAATCAGCTGGCCTACTCTAAAGGAAATATTGAAAGTAGGTGCCATGTTGCATTTGTTTACTATGTGGATAACCAACAGACCAAGGGCTGTTTATTGAAAAGACCATCCCTTTCTCATTCCTCTGCAGTGCCACCTTAGTCTTAATTCCAATGGTCATATAAGAGTAAGTTATAAGAGTAGGTTTGTTTCTGCACTCTCATCTCTTCCATTAGTCTATATCTCTGCCTCCACCAATCACTTGCCTTAGCTGTTGTTTAGTCGCTAAATTATGTCCAACTCTTCTGGAACCCCATGGACTATGACCCACCAGGCTCCTCTGTCCATGGGATTCTCCAGGCAAGAATCCTGGAGTGGGTTGCTGTTTCCTTCTCCAGGGGATCTTCCCGACCCAGGGATCGAACCCAGGTCTCCTGCATTGCAGGTGAGTTCTTTATTGCGGAGCCACCAGGAGAGCCCTCACCTGCCTTAGTTATTCTGTAATTCTTTTTCAGGTTTTTTGTTATGGCCTTTCCTGTTCCTTTGCATTTCCATATACATCTTAGAATCAGCATCTCATTGTTCACAAACATGCCTGCTGGGACTTGCATGGAATTATACTGAATCCCTAAATCAATTTGAGGAGAACTGAAAAACCGAGTCTCCAAAAATATTTACATGGTATATCTATCATTTATGTAGGTCTTAATATCTTTCAGTCATATGAAGAGGTCTTGAATTGTGTGTAGCTGGCTTATAAAAATAAAGTTGATTTGTGTAGAATGAATTTAGATTCAAAGACCCTGATAATTCTAAAATTTTATAGAATTGCATTTTCTATGTATAGAAACATTTTTTCTTTCCAATCATACATCTTATTTTTCATATTTTATTTCACTGACTAGGGCTGCCAATAAAATTTTGAATAAAAATGGAGGAGTAGGAAAACCCAGTTTTTGAGAGGAGGTTTTCAACATATACCTATTAAGTTTTTTAATGAACTTTTTATTTTAGAATAGCATTAGATTTACAGAAAACTTAAAAAATAGTACAGCGAGTTCTTATGTACCTCATTCCTGCTTTCCCCTGTTAATATCTTACATTAATATTGTATGTTTGTTACAACTAATGAACTGGTATTGATACAATTAACCAAAGTCTATACTTTATTCAGATATCCTGTGTTTTGACTTAATGCCCTTTTTCTGTTACAGAATCTCATTCAGGATACCACACTATATGTAGTGAACATGTCTTCTTAGGCTCTTTTTGGCTCTGATAGTTTCTCAGACTTTTCACATTATTGATGGCCTTAACAATTTTGAGAAGTACTGGCTAAGTACTTCTATAAAGAAAGCTGAGCACTGAAGAATTGATGCTTTTGAACTGTGGTGTTGGAGAAGACTCTTGAGAGACCCTTGGACTGCAAGGAGATCCAACCAGTCCATCCTAAAGGAGATCAGTCCTGGGTGTTCATTGGAAGGACTGAGGCTGAAGCTGAAACTCCAATACTTTGCCCACCTGATATGAAGAGCTGACTCATTTGAAAAGACACTGATGCTGGGAAAGATTGAAGGCCGGAGGAGAAGGGAACGACAGAGGATGAGATGGTTGGATGGCATCACCGACTCAATGGACGTGAGTTTGAGTAAACTCCAGGAGTTGGTGATGGACAGGGAGGCGTGGCGTGCTGCGGTCCACTGGGTCACAAAAAGTTGGATATGACTGAGCAACTGAATGGAACTGAACTGGCTAAGTACAGTTGACTTTTGAACAAAAGGGATTTGAAATGTGAGGGCAGAGTCACTACATAAACTATTTTGAATTCTTCTGCATGTAGATTTGTCTTTTCTCCCATTTATTTATCTATCCAGTTATTTATAAAAATATCAGGAATTGATAATACCATAATTCTGGACTTATAGAATGAGCTTCCCTTAATGGACGTTAATGGTAAAGAACCCACCTGTCAGTGCAGGAGATACAAAAGACGTGAGTTTGATCCCTGGGTCAGGAAGATCCCCCAGAGAAGGGCGTGGTAACCCGCCCCAGTAGTCTTGCTACAGCCCATGGGGTCTCAAAGAGTCAGACACAACTGAGTAACTTGTTTTGACCCATAGATTATTTAAAGTATATTAATTCAGAAATATTTTGGGATTTCCCAACTATTCTGTTACTGATTTCTAGTTTAATCCTATTATAGTCTGAGAACACAATTGAATAATTTCTACCCAATGTAGCAGCCACTGGCCATATGCAGCAATTTAAATTAAATTAAAAATTTTAAAGTATTTCCTTGGTCACAACAGCTATATTTTAAGTTCTCAATAGCCATATGTGGTCTAGTGGTGACCATATTGGTTAACACAACTAAAGAACTTCTATATCATTGCTGAAAATTCCTTTAATTTTTTCCCAACTTTATTGAGATAAAATTGGCATTGTGTAAGTTTAAGGTATACACTGCGCTGATTTGATTACACTTACATACACTGCATAATAATCACCACCATTGCCTTAACTAACATTTCCATCACATCCTATAATTACCACTTCTTTTTCATGGTGAGAACATCTGACTTACTCATAGCAACTTTCAAAAATATAATACAGTATTGCTAATTACAGTCATCATGTACATTAGATCCCCAGAACTTATCCACCTTAGCTGGGAGTTTGTACCCTTCAATTGACATCTCCCCATTTCCCCCACCCTCAGCCCCAGTAATCATCACATATTCATTTTTTATGAGTCTGGCCTTTCTAGATTCCACATTTAAGTAACACCATGCAGTCTTTCTCTGACTTCTTTCACTTAGCATAATGCCCACAAGCTTCATCCATGTTGTCACAGATT